TGCTGAAATGTTAGTTTTCTTATTTTCTCTGTATGATTGTTGATTCTTTTTCTAAAGTTTAAACTTTAGATTTCTCAATCAATGTTTTATTTGTACCTGTACCTGAAAGTAATTCTTAAACAAATAGGAAATTTAGACTTCATTATTCCTAGAAAAAAAATCCAATAATTCAATACATACATAGTGCAGATGATTTTTGTCTTTATGTAAATGTTGGTAAACCTTGTGTAATCAACATTTCAAAGAATCTTCAGTTTTCTTTTTGTTTACTACTTCCCACATTGTTACTACCACTGTACACAATAGGCATTTAGAAGAAGAAAAAAAAAACTCAGATATTTTGAGATGTATGAGATAATGTAAAAGTAGTTTAAAATACCATTTGTACAAATACTACAAGACTAGTTCCTAAGCTTTCTGGAAATACTAATCTTAGTGTTTTGGACATTTGCTGTTTTGATGGTTTTTCTTTTCCAAAATTTATATTTTTCTTTAGTTTTATGCTTATACAAATTGATGAATATAAAATGATAAAATGACTTATAAATGTATAAAATTAACATAAATTTTATAGAATTGTTTTATAGAACTATTTCACAAAATTGATTAGAATGTTAATTTTTTTGTTGTATTGGATTCTACTTTTCACTTTAAGAAATTGTTTCTTCTGTTATTTCTAAAACAAAATTGGAATGTTTTATTATTTTCAGGAGATTGTATTAGAATGTTGTTTGTTAGAAAACCTGGATTACTTCCAAAATTTATTACCTATAAACATAAGGCTTTGTTTGAGTGATAATTTGTATTTTCATTATAATAATGAATATACTAATGGCGACAATCAAGACTGAATGATTTACAGCAGGATTTTGATACCTTTTTTAAATTTAATTTTGCAAAAATAATTTTCTTTACAAAATCATTAATTTATACTAATGCTTTACTGTTTATGGAATGTCAATTTCTTTTTACTTATCTTTAATTAAAATTGTGGTAAAAACTGCTTTCAGATGTATTCTATATTGATTCTACTCAAACTATATAGAATGTTTGTTTGTTTTTATTTATACAATAGTAAAATTGTATAAGTGCTTGAAATCCCCAAAAGTAGAAAGTTAGAAACTAGTTTACTATTTAATTTCTTTCTTTCATGTTATATTACTGTAACTCTTACTCTTGAATATTAACACTGTGAAATTTTTTCTGAATGTGCTCATTTTCAATGTTTTACACTTTTTATTTCCATTATAGAAAAAAACCTTTTATTGTATAAAGACTTGCGCCATTCCTACTAAAAACTATTAAATTGCTAATTTGACTATACCAGTAGTACTCATTGGGTACTACGTTTTGGGAAGATTAAGTTCTTTAAAATATTATTGTACTTTGTGATTTTTCTTGTAGATAAAACTGAGTGTTTTCGCAAACCATTCATTTTTTTAGAGCTAATTTATCTATATAATGAGATAAATTGGCAAGTTTCAAAATTTCACTTATTCATTGGTATATTTTCTCCTGCTTCTTTATTAATACTGTTTAAATTTTCGCGTGTACTTTAAGATAATTTCATTGAATGATAGAAATATTGTTTTGTCTAGACTCGAGGATCTCTTTGTATTTATCTTGTCTAGACATCAAAAAAGGTAGTATTATTTGCTATAATGTTAATGTATCTTGTCCCAGAAAGAAAAAACATTTGTGCTGAACAATCGGTGTAACATGATAGACACTTCTGTTAATCCTTGTATTAATTTTTGTTGAGATAAGCTCAGTAGATATTGTGATTTTTATTTTGTTAGAAAGAAGATTTTGCTTTGAAATTAATTTTATATTTTTTTTTAATTTAATTTAAAAAATTTTTATTTTTTTATTTTTTTTATTTATTCATCAATGATTTTTGCCTTTAGAATAGAACTTTTATCTCTTTGCTGGAATGTTTTGCTCCAAACCTGCAGAGTTAAAACAACCTATGTGAATGCATATTGTATATTAAATTAATGACTTCAAATATAAAAAGATTTACTCTTTAATATAGGATGGAAGTCAAGTCCTAACAGATTGTGACTGCTTCATAAACTGAATCCGTGTTGAGCACATGCTTATGTTTGTATATGTTGTTGCTGATGGCACTTTATGTGGCTCATTAGACCTGCAAGGGATCTTGCATGTCACTCCACATTTATTACATGTCAGTTTTCCTGCAGCAGCTTGGAGTTTTAGATGTTGATATTTATAATACAGAGTGAGTCCACTGACTCACACACTTTGTTACTGAGGCTGCAAGAGAAATCAAGTGTGATATATTGGTGGTAGACAGGGCTGTTTCTATGACATCGTTTGTGGCTAAGAAAAAAAAGCAAACCCAGCCACATTTGTTACATGAAAGAAATTTTTTCTTTCTCTTCTCAGGGAAAGGGTTAACATCTTCCATATATTTATTAGCTTGTTTCAATATAGTATATGTAATTTGGTTATTTTTTTCCCTATAGCATCAGCTGTAATCAGTTTCCTTTTGAATTCCAGAAAAATATAACTGCTCAGATTTTTTCTTAAAAGCCCCCCTAAAAAAAACAAAAAAATTTATCATTTTTTAATTGCTAATTTTACTGTTATTTTATACTTTTATTTCACCAACAAATAATACAATTAAAATACTTTAAACGTTTTTGAGTGCAACTTTAATTTTTTTTTTTTTTTTAATATAAATCCTAAATCACTAAGCATTAATGCTTATCATAATGTTACCCTTTTGGTTGACTACCATAATTTGAGTAACAATAACCAAATAATAATGCAGTTAATTATGTTATAGTAATAAAATTTTGAGTCATAGTTTATTTTTATTTTTTTTTAAATTCTACTTTTGTCAACTCTGGTATTAATATTAAACTAATTAATAACTTCTGTGTGTTGCTTATGTGATGTGCATTTAAAAGCTTATTAGATATTCTTTATTTCTATTTAAAAATAATGGTAATTCAGGGTTGCTTCTGTTGTTGAGAATTCCTTTGATATTGAAGAGATAATAGTATAAATAGAATTTGTTAGTAAGTTATGATATAGGGGTTAGGAATAATTTCTAGTTTATATGTAATGATTTAAGTAAAAAACAAAAACATTCTCAAGAAGTTATTTTATTATTCTCCTGCTTTGCATTAAAAGAACTTTTGGGTTCTTTCAACTCTACAAAGAAACCAGAATAACTTTTACCAGATATAATTGGTTATTGTCCAGAGTAAATATTTACCCTTATTTTATAATCTTGTACCCTCAGAATGTATTGTTGAATTCAATGCTCATACAGTTAATGAAATATTGATGCATGAAGTTGTTTAACTGGAGATAGAGGAAATTATTTTGTCTTATCAGAAAGTTCATACAAGACATGTATCTTCACAATATATCAAATTTTGGTTTGCATATAAAATATAAGTTTCATTGCTTAAAATTAATTTAATTTTATATTTCTTTTATGTGATATAGACGATTATTGCTGTCCAAACCTTCTTGTCTTTTATTGCTCTAAGTAACTTTTCACCCTCTACCACATTGCTTTGTTCTTATTTTGCCATTCCTTCATTCAAACTTGTTAAGTAGACAACATATTTCTCTTGTCTTCAATATGTACGGTAAGTATTAAATTCTCCTGTCCCTCTTTCCTCATATGATCCAGAAGTTTCTGTTGTCTTTTGATTTTAATTGTCTGTTTCTTTGAAATTTCCTATTTTACTTAAAACTTCCTTACTCGCATGTTCTGTCCATAATATTCTGAGAATTAGACGGTAGAACCACATCTGTGAGGAAATTGTCCAGCATTAACTGTCATATATGAGGTTAGATATTACATAGCATTTCAGCACTTTTTGTTTCTAACAACACTTTCCTCTCTCTTAATACTCTGTTCAGTTTCTGGAAGGCTCCTTTTGCTATTCTTATGCATCTTTTGATTTTTGTGTCACTTTAAAAAGTTTTTCTTTCTGAGTCTATTATCTACACCTTGTTATCTGTATATGGCTCTAAGATTATGTCATCTAATTATAAATTCTATTAGTAGCTCTAGTTAGGATCATCTTGCTTGATAGATTTAATAAATCCAGTAAGAAAATGCAACCTTTTATCCCTCTTTGGACTTTTGTATATTCACTGAACTTGTTCTCTATTTGTATGCAGGTTGTTAGTTTCTAGTAAAAGTTAATTTTACATTTACCTAGTATATATAAATATAAAATATATTATGAAAGCATATTTTTATATCTAATGGATTTTGGAGATAAGAATCTGTATATGATTTTTCTGGACATTAATAAAAGTATTGATTTTTCTCAAATATGTTATTTTTTTTTCTTTATTTACATACTCAGAACTGGCACTCTTTACAACAGGCTCTTCTAAATTGTGAACAATTATTAAATACGGTTTTCAATGACTCAATATAAAAGAAAGAACACTTAGCTTATTTGAAGTACTGCGTTAAAATGTTTTGAATTAGCTGTTATTTCATTTTCAAATGTTTTGGCTAAACATGAATATTAGGTTATTAAACTGTGATATTCAGTGGGTTATAAAGAAAAAGTGAATAATGTGGCTTTGTCTTGTTATCAGAGAAGCTAGTTGGAACTTCTAGATTTTGATTCTAATGACTGTTTTGTGTATTTATATTTATGTATTGGAATATTAAATAACTGAAACAAAAAATCATGGCTGGATACTATAATGAAAATGAGAAACATTTTATTTTTATACTAGAGTTTGAATGCATTCCTAAATTGAAGTTTTAAAAATGTACTTATGTTTGTAGATTTTCAATATACTCTTTCTTCTATTCTTAGCTTTACTCATTATTGTTGCTTTTTATCTGGATTATGAGTTGTAAAACACTTTGATTACGAGAGTAGTGTGTAATTAAAAATCACATAGTGGCTTCAGACAAAGCTTGAACTCACATTCAACACCTAGAAAACTTGTCTTACATTGACTATAACTACTTATTTATTTTTCAGTGCTTCCTTCTGTGATGGACAGGTTAGGAGATGCTAAAGACCAGGTAATTATAGTTATATTTAATGCTCTTTACATTTAATAATCTCTAACTTGATTATAGTTGAATTTTCTAACAGAATTCTTTAGAATGCTTTTTCTTGGGGGTGGGGGAGGCGAAGAGAAAAAAAGACAATTATTTGCTTATTTTTTTATTGTTTCTGTTATAAATTTCAACCCTAAATGTTGAATATTAAAATACTTTGGTTTCTTTATATTTAATATTGTATTTATCAACAAAAAAAAAAAAATTATCTATAGATGAATTTATTAATTATCTGCTTAACAGATCATAATCTTTGACAGCTTTCAAAAAAAGAAAATGTTAGGATGATTGTCACTTTCAATTTTACAATTAAATCTCTTTTTAAGAGAGTGGGGAATTAGAAGTGATCTTTTATAAGTCAAAGTATTAAAGACAAAATCATAAAAACCAATTTAAGTTGCAAAATTTGAATTATTACAGTTGGATAGCAATAATCTCATGGATTTGGGATCTGTTATTAAATTTGAAAACTTGTTCATAAATCTTGAAATATTTCTTTTGAGCAAATCTAAAATTTTGCAAGAATTTGAGAAACTGCTCTTCTCACTCGCATGCTTTTAATGCCGACTTTTTAATCATTTATAGTATATTCAGGTAGATCACTTAAGACTTGATGCGTGAAATTATCCCTGACTGTAATGAAAGAACTCCTTAGAAAAAGAGAAAATGCTGCCACTTAGTATGGCTGTGATTAAGACGAATAAATTTAGTTTGTAGATTCTTTCTGTTGCAAGAAATTAATGAATTTTTATTGACTATCATTTTCATTAAAATTAGAATATATTTGATTTCAATTTTCTATTTTATATAATCATTTTTTTTTTTAACTATTTTTTTTGTAGTCTATAAAAAACACATAAAATTAATTTTATCCGACGTAGATGATAAACAATAGCTATTGATTCAGTATATTTGCTAAGTTATTGTAGCTGAAGCTGCCCAAATATATTGATTTTGAGCAATAATAATGTAAGTTAAGGCCGAAACAAAAGGTAGAATTTTTTTTTTTTTGCAAGAAAATCTTTTGTAGATTTACTATTAAAATAAATTGTTGCTTCAACCATGAAGTTGCAAGCTAAAATATTATCCTCTTGAGATTACAAGCCAGTTATGTTGAAAGCCTTTTTTTTAAAGGCATATTTTAATATATACATTTTTTTTAAATTACAGACTTAATCATTACAACAATATAAAATATTGATTGATTTTTGGAAAGTAATCATAAATGGTTATTTTAAAAAAAATATTTTCAGGTTCGTGATCAAGCACAGAAATTGCTCCTGAAATTGATGATGCCGGCATCATCACCACAAGTATGTTCTCTTTTTCACAAAACGTTTTTTGAGAATAATTCTTTGGAATTTTTTAAACACTATTTCCTCATTATCTATTTGCTGTTTAGCAGATTAGTGCTGTTCATCTTTGTATGATAATTATCAAAAAAGTTCTTAGCTATCAATAACCTATCAAGTCTTACATTCAGTATTTGCATTAGTCGGACTATTGTCCTCATCTTTGTCGCCATATTTGTCACAACGTTTCGACAATCAACATATGGAGAGAGAAGGGAGATCACCGCCCCCTGTGGGATCATGTTGAGATCATAGACAGGGAACACCATTGGAAAATTCGTAAACTTAAGGAATCAGCACATATGCTAGGCCACAAAAATCTCCTGAGCCGACCAAGCATAGAAATAAATACAATATGAGAACCAGTAATAAGGAGTGCCAGAGAAAAGCAATGATAACAAAGTTGCAATATGAACTCTGGTAAAGACATGCAAAAATTGCAATATGAGCACTGGTAAAAATGATGCTGAAAACATTAGGTTTATAATACTCAGAAGTTCATACCCAGATGTCCTCAAGGACACATGGCACAGTGGATAAAGGTGTTGGTTAGATCCAGTGACAGACCCAAAGAAGGTGAGTTCAATTCCTGGTTAAGGCAGTGGAGAACTTTCAGAGGGAAAATTAGCAGGAGATAACTGATAACTGCCATCAAACATGGCACGTGGAATTAGAACAGTCTACCCCAGCGATCGAAATAAAGGGTTCAACCACCTGAAGAAGGCCGGAGCGTACAACGGCCGAGATGAGGACAATAGTCCGACTAATGCAAATACTGTACATAATACCTCATCTCAGAAATATAGACAAACTCTCAAGTCTTACATGAATTTTTATAAAATATATATAAGATATACAGTTTATAAAGTTTATTTTCCGTTTGCATCCAAGCTAGTTCATTAATAGATTGTTTTCTTTTCACTATTTCTAATTTTCTTTTCTGTGTTAATACCCTAAAGAGTTGGCCTGACAGTTAAAAACATAGAAAAATGGAATCTGTGGATCAAGTACAAATTGCAGCTGAACTAGTTTCCCTTGAGAAAGGCATAAACCCGCCTCTCAGTAGATCAAGTTGGTGATTATTTTATGCTGCTGGTACCATGTGACCCTATACAGCCTGTTGCATGCTATTTAGAGAGGAGATGGATACTGACAAGTGCATCCATTTTTAGAAGGACATGAGACCTTGTATATTATCCTGATAATCTACTAGATCCTGGGATAGTTTGATTATAAATTTGACTTTTCTTTATGACATGTTAATTTGTGCTTTTTTGATATTTCAGTATGTATTTGAGCGCATGAATAGTGCCTTTACCCATAAATTGTGGCACGTGAGAGAAGGAATCCTAGTATGTCTGCAGAACACCATCAACACGTAAATATATATATACATTCTTTCTATTAGACATTGATTAGTAAACTTGTTTTTGACAGTACTGTTAACCAAACCTTAATATTGATTTTAAAATAAAATATCATGAAATTATAAATAAACAATTTGGACTTAGATAGGAAGGAACAATTAGTGATTTTGTATGATTATATTTTGAAACTAGTTATCCTCAACATTTTATATTCATTCGTATAAAGGTGTGCTTAATTTATTTGAAGTTGATGCCCTTTCACTGATTCTGGTCAGCTTGGCTTTTGTAATTTTTAAATAACCTCTGCATTTTGATCAATACATTTAATGTATAAATATCACTTGAAATATTGATTTTTTTTCTTTTTTTCTATGCACTACTAATTTGCCTGCATTGTATGAGGAGTTTAAAAACTTAATTTAGATCTTAGTTTCTTATTCAACCTGAGGCACCTTATAGGAAAATCATGTTATTTATTGAATACTTTAGTTTTATTATCCTCCAGTATTTAAAAAAAACAAAAATACCATTTTATTCATGAAAGAGTGTAAATATGATTCTGTGCTGGCCACTAAAGTCATTTTTGGTTTAAGGGAGACAATTCATGTTTGTTTTTAGAACACTTTATAAGAGAGCATGCGCACTCACGATCTTACACGCACACACATCCACCCACCAACCCCATTCAATTATGAATGTTAAAAATAAATCCGTAAATAACCTGATTTAATCACAAAACTAGGAAATAAGATCGATTGATGATATTTCTATTAATCTCTTGCAGATCATCTTTTACAAAGACTAGGTATTTTATAGTGCCTAATACAAATTGTTTAATTTGTAAGACCTAAGACTTTGAAAAAATATGAACATTCTTTTTTCTTTGTATTAAAATTTATAAATGCCTTGGTAGATTACTTTCTCTCTCACATATATATTAATACGTGTTTTGAATAACAAAAATGGGAAGCAAAAAAAAAAAAACAAACTTAGCCTGAAAAAATAAGAATTTTTTTTCAGACTAATAACTGTTGGAATCAGCCCTATATATATATATATATATATATATATATATATATATATATATATATATATATATAGGTGGGAGAATGTGTATATGTGAGATACAACTGTTGATTGTATCTTTTACAAGTGTATCTGTACACTTACAGTTTATATTAAAACATTTAAGATACAAATACATTCAGCTTTAAACTTTTGATGCCTGATATATCTAGATGTTTAACTTGGCCCATCACATTCAGATTTTTATTGCTTTTGTTTTTATTTTTGGTGTTTTTAAATATTCCACATGTATTTTTGTGAAGAAATTAGATAAATTCTATGATCTTGGATGTAAATCTGTTAGAGGATTCCTGAATTATTGCACTTTCAATATATTTTTTGCCTTAAGTTATTTTCTCTTTTAGTCAAAACTGCATTCTTCAAATCAAAATTGTGATCAGGCCTATTATGATAAATGATTAATGTGTTGAGTGTTGCCGTGAAAAATATCCCTTTCATGTTCATATACTCTATAAGTATATTTATATAATTCCTATGATTCACTTATATATTTCTTGAGTTATAGTTTTGTAGTTTATTTTGTAATTCCTGCTTTAGAGAATTTAATCAACACAAAACAAAATAAGATTAAACATTTTTTGTGTTAGTTAAATCTTTTATGGTTTTTTTATGTTATAAATTTTATGAAGTTTATATAAATTCTTTTCACTTGTAGTCATTATTGAGTTGGTAGGTAGTATTATGTACCTAGTTTTATCAAGGTTATTTTTATTTTTTGGGGGTTATGTGGATTTTTTAAGCTTTTCCTTTTTTCACTATATATGAAATAATTAAGATATTAGAGGATTTTAAAAGTATTTTTAATGTATGTTTCTTCATATGTAAGTATTCAGCACTACAAATTTAACGTGCTCAAATAGAAACATTTATTCTAGATTTTATTTTGTTCTTGTGTGAGTAGAAGTGTGAGATCTTTTTTTGTTTATGGACTTTTGGTAGACATTTAGTTATCAATTTAGTTTAACATGATATACAGAAATGATAATATATGCTTTCTGTTTCATAAGTAAATTTAATTGAATATTTGATTTTGTTTAGTTACAAGATCAGATAATATTGTTTTTCAGAGATATATTTATAAAACATCAATGTATCAGAAAAATGTTGATTCTTAAGGTAAATATATTTTGAAAAGGACTGGTTTTGAGTAGGAAAAGATAGGCTAATACATCACTAAGAGAGAATTTTATTGGTAAAAACAAATTTGTCTCTAAAAATTATTCTCAAGGAAATAAAGTTGGTGTGTAATAAGTTGGCAAATCTTTAGAATAATTTTGTCTATCAAAAGTTTTTGATTTTACTAGACATTTCTTTTGGAGGTTTAAGCATTTGTTAACTGTTGTCTTAGTACATAAAAAACGGTTTTAACAGAAATGTTTCATAAATTTCAATTGTCAGTAATATTGATTGATCAATGAATGTCAAATATTTTTTGCATGGAAACAGCTAATTTCACCATTATGATAAAGATTTAATATTTAAGCTAACCATGAATTTATCCTTCATATTTATGTCTTAGTCTTTTGATAAGGTTTCTGAAATTTTTAATATGTGTAAGGCTGGATAATTGTTCCAAGAAGTGGGATTAAAAAATTTTCTATAATTTATATTTAAAAGTTTAATAAAACTGGGTCAGAATTAATCGAATGTCACTCTAAAATACCCAGAGCTTAAAGTTGACCCAAAACAAACAGGTGCATTCCTATGCATCTTATCAAGACGAAAGAAAATGATGAAAAGTTGAATGAGGTAAGCTAAGATAAACATCAAGATGAAATGGATGTCAAAATTTAAAGCTGAGAATCTCTATATCTTTAACATTTTGATGTAAATTGTAAGCAACATTTGTTGTATCATCCCTCCACAACCTTCTACCCCTTTTATATAGGTAAGACAGATTCTATCAATAAAAATGTTATTAAAACTGAAGAAATTCCTTCTCAGAATACAACATGGTACAAAGAAGTTTGCCACTTTTGTTAAAATGTCACAATAACACAACAGGATCATTTAAATATATAAATTATCAATATATTTTTTCATTATGATAACTTTAAGAAAATATGTAGAAAGAAAAATGAACTTCGGTTGAGTTTTTCTTATAATAATTGTTTTTTGGCAAAGTTTAACTTATGTGCCTGTAAAAAAAAAAAAAAAGTGTCAAAAGGATGGTTTTTATCTTGACACTGCTATTGTAAACTTCTCCTCAGCAATTTTTATTGTTTTAAAATGCTGTTTGGAATTTTAATAATGAAATAAATATAAAAAAATAATTTTTTTTTATTCATAAAAAATTACAAAATCATAAAATGTGAACCAACTATAATGAAATATTTATTATTTAGCATTTTATAAAGAAATAAATATGAAAAGAAATATTCAAAGAACTTAAAATGATTACTTGGTTATTTATTTTAGTGCATCATTTTACTTAGAATTATTAACAAGTACTGATAAAAAGATACTTGGCAATAATTGTAAGTAAAATGATGTTTTCATATCTTTTTGAAATTCTTTTTTATTTTATTTTATTTTTTTTTATAGATATGGTGCTCGTAGTCTTCAACTTAACAAAGCTGTCCCTTCTATTATTAAATTATTAGAGGATCAAAATGCACAAGTAAGTATTTGTTTTAAGGAATATTTAAGTCTTTATTAATTACATCCAATTTACTTAAGCTTATTATAGCTTCTAGTTCAAAATGTCTCATACACTTATCCTGAATTCTTTAATTATAAATCAGTATTCTTTGAATTTCTTAAAATTTCAATGATTGATTTTTTTTCTATTGAATTTGCTAGTTTCTTTTGAATTTATAATGAATACATAAGAAAACAAAATTTTAAGGTAATGGATATTTTGATGGGAAGGGTATTCTGTATCTTATTTTTTTCTTACACCTTTCTTAGAAATTATTATTGTATTTTGTTCCTCATGTTTGTCTGTCTTTTTTTTTTCCATTTTAAAAAGATATTTTAGAGAAATTTGTACATGAAATGGTCCTGTTGATACTTTCTTTGTCATGTTTTTATTTTTTTGTTAAGGTTTTTTTCAGTATTTGTATTTTATCCCCCAATTCTCATTTTAAGGTACGTGATGCTGCCATGAATACCCTGGTGGAGATTTACCGTCATGTTGGCGAGCGAGTACGTTGTGACTTGGCTAAGAAGGAGTTGCCTCCTGGAAAGTAAGTGAAGGGGTTTATTTTGTGTAATATCTGCATTTACTTTGCATATACACAAAATGAAAAACTGTTTGTTATTAATATTAAATCAACCACCAACAATCCAAAATATTTTTGATTTCAATAACCTACAAAGAGTTGATAAATCATAAAAACCAAAACAATCTATCAGTCTTGTCTGATTTACCCTTAGTGAAAAGTTAAAAGTAAAATTACCAAATGTTTTATAAAACAATGTTTTCAAAACTTTAACATTGGGTTTTATTAATTTTTGTTAAAATTTAATTCTTGTGTGTTTCATATCCCTTCAGGATGTGGACAATCATGGCTCTATACAACTTCCTGTCTTTTGTAGCTCTTAGTAAGTTTTGTTTTTTTGCTATCCCCCTTACTTTCTGTTCTGTCAACCATTTAAATAAGCTTGTTAGGTTATTTGTTGTTTTCCTCTGTTCATCTTGCCTTCAATGTGTCCTGTGTCAAATTCTCCAGGCCATCTTTCCTCATTATGCATTCTAGAAATTTAAAGTTTTTTTTCTGATTCTAATTATAAGCATCTTTTTTGTTTCCATTTTCCTAAAAACTTCTCTGTTACATGCTCAGTTCAGGGTATTCTCAGCATCTTTCTGTAGAACTCCATTTCTGTTGTCACAAGTCTCTTCTTTATCTGTGAAGAAATTGTCCAGCATTCACAGGATTCATTGGAGGACCAATATTACATAGCTTTTCAACACTCTCTTGTTTCTAATGAAATTTACTTGTTTCTTAATACTTTTATTTATTGGGTTTTGGAAGACATTTTCTACTATTCCAATATACTTTCAGATTCTGGTGTTCCATTTTCTGTCCTATGTTAAAACACTAGATATTTAAATTTTTGTACTTGCTTGATTTTTGGTGCTTTCAATTAGTAGTTTGCAACTTGGACTGTTTCTTTTGCAAAGAACCATACATTATCTTACAATAGATTTTTATCCCTTTTTTATCACCTCCATTTACTATCTTCTGTAGGAGTTCTTGTAGTTTTCTCTTACTCCAGCTAATTTTGTAATATGTATACTTAGAGCGAAGTGATTTTTGAATTGAGTTTCCACCACTGAACTGACCGAGTGGATAAAAGCATTTGTTAAAAATAACTTACTTAGCTTTTATAAGTTCAATTCTTGTACAGAAAGTCATAGTCTGGTTTAATTCAGCAGTTTTTGTTTCGTAAGAGTTGCCTCCCTTATCTTTTGACTACCAATAATTGACTTTGAAAAAGTTGAAACTCGGCTTGAGTTTTAAGTTTTATTTTGAGCATATGTAGTTATTCTTCGGTAGTTTTGTCTGCTTTCCTTTCTCAAACTATTTTGATGGAACAAATGGGATAATTTTAAGAATTATGTTAATTCATACATAAAAAAAATAATTTCAACTGTATTTTAGGTGTATTAACTTAGCACTGAATTATATTCATCTTTTTGTTAATTGAATTTTTTTTTTATTCTTAACTGCTTATAGTAAAAAAAAATGTTTTAAACTTGGTTGATTATCTTTTGGTATTGTTTTTTTTCTTTTTTTTTTTTTTTAAACTTTTTAATTCCCTAGTACAAGACCCAAGAGCCATTCAGGATAAAGTGTTACTGAATAAAATTGTTGCATGAATGTAAGAAATGTAGGAAATATAATGGTTTACTCTGGATCTAAAGAGTTAAGATTGTAGCAATCAGTGAAGCATCACTTTGGGTGTCTGTTCCACAAAGTAGCAGTTCTTGGGAAGAAGCTGTCTGATTGGAGCTTCCTTATTCGTGAAATATAAAGGGAATGGGAATGATTTGTCCCAATGTATGTGGCATGGTGGTTCTTTGTTGTATAGGTTTGAACTAGTGGTACTAATAGCTAGTCTGAATATTTGCCATGGAAATAGCAAAAAAGTAGCTAGAGATTTGCAGTGTTTTGTCTCTAGGAAAAGAGAGGTAGAGTGGAAAATAATCACTCACAAGGTTGCATTGACACTTTTAAACTCTATCAAGGCTGGAAAGTGAGACTGGACAACAGTACTCCCTTTTGGTTCTGATCTGGCTCTTGTAAAGATACAGCATAGTATGAAGAGTCTGGTACTTTTTGGAATGGAAGAAGGAACTGACTATATTACTAGCATCTTTAGTGATGGATTGTATATATGCGTTGATGTGAGTTCTGGAGTGAACTTTAGTTCCAGTAGACATTCAAAGCAGAGAGTCTCTCTGAGAGCACAACCATTCATCAGGAGGGGCAAAAATTCAGGGTCTGCTTGGTGATGAAACATTACTAGAATGCGATGATAACATTATCGAATGAAAAGCATTCTATAATCAGAAGTTCTATTCTGCAGCTCTGTTCTGTGCTTAAATATATTTTAAATCTAATTTGTAGGGCCAAGCATTACATTTCAATTTTCAGTCATTTTAGGTATTTTCAGTTTGTTAAAGAATCAAGAAAAAGGTTTTAATTCACTTGTTGCATAACTTTGGCATTTGTGATTTATTTCAAATGACACATTAGACTTAGGACCAGTTACAATGATCCTTTAATTTATACTATATTGAGATAGATATATATAGGCATAACTATTATATGTAACTTGTTTTGACTATCAGATTCTTTAAGTAATGTTTAGTTTGGAAATGGACTTTAGATTGCCATAAATAATTTTTGTCCAAAATGTTCCCTTGTATCTGGTAAATACTTTATTAGATTGATGGAAATGTGAATTTTCCTTTGGCAATTTTATATTGTTGTAGAAGGTAGAGAAATTTGACTTTCTATGTAGTGTAGTAACAAATTATAGAAAGTGTGACATGGAAATCCAAAGGCACATAGGAAGAATGAAATATGTCTTTCAAAAACTAAAAGTATTAAGAGTTAACAAAATGTCTTTAGAAGCAAAGAAAGTATTGAATTACTATAAATATCTAATCTTCTATATAGTATTGAATGCTGGGCAGTCTCCTCACAGATCAAAAGGAGACTTGAAGTGACAGATATGGTTCTGTTGACAAATGTTGGGAATATCATAGACAAAACATTTGAGTAACAACAAAAGTGACATTTACAATCAGAAAAAGACATTTGAAATTTTAGAGAGACATAATTAGGAAGGAAGACGTTGGGAATATAACACTCACAGGACATATTGAAAGCAAGGGAAACATTGGACAAACAGCGAGTAATCTACATGGTGAGTTTGAGTGAATAGATGATAGAACAAAGAGGGATGGTAAAGGGTCAAAACTTGAAGCAACAACAGCAGGAAGTTGTAGAGAGCTATGATTGACCATGCCCCTAAAAGAACATAGCACATAAATGAAAATGAGTTAAGTTAACTATGTTTCATAGTAACATGTTTCAAGCTTTTAATTTTGTTTGTGGCAATCTACTTGGTAAATATATTAGCTTGCTTCTTGTTTTTAGTTTTCTTTCAACAGTAATTTGCCTCTGGCTGTTCCAAAGTCAGTGTTATCCTTAATCAAGAAAACCTATTAGTGCTTGTTTTAAAGTCATTTATTCTTGTTCATAAGTTGCTGTTAGTGAGGTTCATAAAAACAAAGCCTTATGTCAAATATGCACATAATCAAGATCATTACTCGTAATCTGTCACGAGAGTTCCTTGGAATTTATTTAAGAATAACAAACAAAATATATGCAGATATTTAAAAACATACTGTTGTACCTTAGATGTACTCATAAACTTTTGAAAATTTTAATCTTTTTAATGCATTAGTCTGGGAGTATTGATGAAAAGCAATGAATGAGTTAAAATAGATTCTAATTAAAGATCAGTAATTAAAATTTTTAGGTCAAGGAACTTAGTCCTAACATTTTAATCCTCTATACTTAAAGGCATTTGAAATTTCTCGGGTACATAATGAAGAAAGAGGGCTTGGAAAATTTGATACTCACAGGACAGATTGAAGGCAAGAGAGACAGAGGAAAACAATGTATAACTTACCTAGCAAACTTGAGTAAATTGAGCAAAAGAAGGTTTAAGAGAGATAACAAATTTATTAAGAGCCATGATTGCCAATGCCCCAAAGGGTCATGGCACACACAGAAGTAATTTCATTAAATTGAGAACATCTTTGTCAGGTTATATATAAAATCCAGTAGGGTAGGTGGGTTCAACTATTGAAAAAAAAAAAAGACATGAACAGATGGGAATTAACTGTATATAAAGAAAATCAGGCTTCCATTTTTTTTCTTTCCCTCTTCTGGTACTGAAATTAGTTTTGATATCAGAAGATGCATGTTTGATTTCTTGTGAAGCAAAAAAAAAAAGTTTTGAATGTACATGTACCATTTCCATCACACCTATATGTGATTAAAAGCTTACTTTCAAATACAATCACAATAGATTAATTGATTGTAAACTTTACATTTAGGATAAGGATATGTGGATTAGGATTAATTCTATTTTCTTTATATCAGAGTTACAAATTGATTGTTTTGAATTAATATTTTAATCTTTCTAATCATTTGAATGAGTAGTTTAGATTGGAAGACTTAGTTTTTGGTTCAATTTCAGTTGCTGTCCATTTAGTTTTTAAGTAGCACAATATTTTTATAATGAATCAAATTCAAAACCTTGTCTTTTGACAATTTCTTATTGTTAATAACTTGTGTGTAAACCAAACATAGAGTATTAAAATATCTTTTAATTGTGGGACTTTAAAAAGTTACCAGTTATAAATTACCATTGTTCCTTTATCTGACAGTAATGTAAGTTAGATATTATTTGCCTGACAGTTATAAACATTGCTCTCATATTTATAAAAATAAATACATGTATTTGATGGGAAACATTATTTTAAAATATTATTTTGTATCTAAAATTTTAGTTTATATGAAAATAAGTATTGAAATAAAAACTTGGTTTCTTTTTAAGTAAAAAAAAAGACATCAATAAAAGAAATGAGATGAAAAGGTACATCAATAAGTACACATGATAAAAAAAAAGCATTTATTTTACACAACAAAAATTTATTTTTCAACATAATCTCTTGTTAATGCACTTAATTCACTGATGAACATAAATCATGTAGTTGAACATAGTGAAAATTTCAGATCAAAATTCAGTTAATAACTGATGGTATGAACTTATTGACTTTGTGTAAGAAGGATTTTTTAAAATGAGTGAATAAAACACATTGCTTGAGAGTAAACTCTTTTCTACTTTAGACATTAATTATTGATACGTTTAAATGTGTCATATGGATGTTTAGGTTAGTGACTAAGGACGAGAAATTAGTAAGTTGAGTTTGAATTCCAGTTGAGTTTGTTACACTTTTGTGTCAATACGCTTGGGAAAAGATATGAATCTGCCTCTTCTCCTTCCAGTTATGGGTTAAATGATAGGGCAGATTGAGCTGTTCAGCCTTGGTTGGCAACCAGTTTAGAAGGAAAACATTAACACTAAATAAAAAAAACTCAAAAAAAACCCCCTGTTCATAAATCTTTCCTGTAAAAATTTAATTGCTATGGAAATCACAACAGCAATGTTTAGTGTGTTGAGAATTGTGGGCTCCCATACTCTTCTGTGGAGTCTACAGAACTTGAATGGGAATAATATTTAAGGATAATTAAAATTTTCTGTGGTGGGGGGGAATTTGGACAAGATACAAACTACTAGCAACACTTGTCAGTTTGAAAGAAAAAACTTTATATCAGTTTCCAAAACTTGGTTGAGATAAATTGTATACAGTGAGAGTTAATTTTGAATAAATGATGGAATACCAAAATGTTGTTTGTCCTAATGTTGCAGCTAACCTCATGGTTCATATGCAGAGAAATTCTCCAACAATTGGCTAGGTTTTCAGTTTTAAAGTATTATTGCTGGCATTTTATTGTCTTTATTTCTACATATTTATTAAAGCAAGTTGTTATATAATTTTTATTTTCATGGCTTTGGTCTTGCTTGTTTGTTGATTCATAACTATAACTTTATTTTCATTTCGCATTATTCTAATGTAAACAATGACTTAAAGAAATTTTAGTAATAGTTTCCTCTGTAGATTTTTCTTCCAAGACTTGACATAATTCTTCCTCTTTCATGTAAAACTGTCTGATAGTTAAGATTTGCTTTTTGCTTAATTACTCATGTCTTACTTGCCCACTTTTCAGTAATTAAGCTTCATTGTGCAGTGAGATCATGTCTAGGCCACGGTTTATTGTTTAATGGGTTCTTGGCCAAGAGTACGCTGCTTGGACTTGTGGTCCCATCCATTATTTAGTCACTTGTTAATCATTCCATTTCCATTATATATGCAAGCAAACAAGCAAGCAACACTTTGCTCGCTCGCTGCTTTGTCTGCTCTCAAATAGGCAATGCTTTTACTTAGACATCAAAAATATTGTTGGAGAATTTTCTTGCATATGAAGTGTGAAGTTTGCTACAATCTTAGGACAAATGTTATATTGGTACCTCATCATATTTTGATATGCTCCAGTGAAAATATTAAGGTATTTACAAGAATGGTTAACAGTCCATTATAAACTACTTTATTTTTGATTTGTTAGGTTTTATAAAAATGATATGGTGTATATTTCACTTGTATTTCTCTTTTGATTTAAGGTTTTTGTTTTTTTAAACAACATGATTGAATTTAGTAATTACTCTTGTAAGATTATCAAAATAATTTAACAATGTGAAAGTGACGTTAATTTATATATAGATTTCACAGAACAAACTAAATTTAATTAGAATTGCTTATTTTTGAACAAATGCCTCTCTAAAGTATAAGTACATAAAAACGTATAAAATTTAATTTATTTTGACCTTACTGACTTTCAAGAACAAGTAAATTGTTAGATAAATGCTGGATCACCTTTCTCACCAGTTGATAGAGAATTTGTCTGTATTTTAATGTCTAGTATTCATTGCTGTTGTCATCTATTTGACCTATAAAATAAAAACTGGATATTTTGCTAATTGACAAGTTCTAGCCTAAAATGAATGATTATGTAAAATAGGAAATTAAAACTGGTTACATATCTTGAATTACTGAATAATAAACATGTTATCAGTTAGTTTTTGAGGAGGGGAATTGTTTTAAAAGCTGTGTGAGAAACCGTTTCATCTATTTTAATATTAGATTAAATCAAGTGATCTAAATTCATGGAGTGCTCAAGTCATCTATATATATTTAAAGATAATTACTATTTCTAAATAATCTAAATTTCATTTCTATTTTGAGCATTTGTTTGTTTAATTTCTTCACTTTATACTGTAATAGTTTCAAAAGGACAGTTTTGTTTGCTGAATACTGCTTGATGTTAATCCATACAGATATTAATATACCAAAAATTCCTTTTGTGTTATAAATTTCTGCACAAAACAAATTGTCAACAAATTGAAAGGAAAATTTGGTTGTATATTACCCATTTTGACATTGGCATGTTAAAAATTATTGATTTCTAAAATTAACATTTTTTTTTTTTTGTCATTATTTGCTTTTTGATTATAATTAATCATGAAGTGTTTTAAATTTTATTCAATCTGGACATTTTTCAAGATGCTTTTTCTTCTCCTTTTGTTCTAGATTAACTCAGTTAAATCAAAGGTTTGACGATGTGAAAAAATCTGGTAATATGCTTCCAACTGCAGATGTAGGTATGTATGCTTCTGTCTCTTTAACTGATGTTTCTGCCCTGAAAACTCACTCCTCTTTCTATCATTACACATGCTTATCTTAGCCTCTGGTTATTTTGTATTGCCGACTTGGGTTGATGGACTGAGATCAGCCAGCATCATGTTCAACTGGTCTATTAATAACAAGATTTTTGAGAGGAATTCTTGCAAACCGTTATCAGTAATAGGTCAGTGTAGATTAAAGCAGGTTTTCTATGATAATGAATCTCTCAAGATATTTGGGGGGCGGAATTTGTGAGTATGCATATGCACATTATCTGAAGAAGCAAGTATATTATTTATCACTCATAATAATTTCAGCTTTATTCCATGAAAAACAGAGATTGATTGATGTTTCATTGATGTTCATTATAGAGTGAATTTATTAAGTTGCTTAAAGGAAAACTTATGAAGAATTATATAAAGAAATGTTTTCTTTTTTTTTTCTCAAATCATATAGTATTTGGAAGATGAAATAGTTTTGCTTTTATTAAGATTTCAGTTTTACATTTCAAATTAACTGGATTTATTTACATCATAAAGAATAATTTTTTAAATCTCTGCAAGAATTGCATTACAGTTGAAGAGTCTTATACTCTATAATATTGGAAGTAATAAACCTTTTGTTTATAAAATACTAACTCTTTAAAAAGAATATTTGGGTTAACTGGAAATGCTATACTATGCAGCCATCTGATAAAACCTTTATATACTGTATTATATTAATACTTAATATAGGTTAAAATTGGTATTTCTTTTTTTTTTATCTCTGCTTATTTACTCTGTATGTGTATGTATGTAAACATTCTTGGCATCATTGCCTTCAGTTTTTCTACACTTAAAGTAAATTGTCTATTATAATATCTTGTGCCGTTTTAATTTGGATCCAAAGAGGAATCCTCAAATTGTATGCTTTTAAAAAGTTATTACTGTTTGCTATTTTAGAACTTTTCTTCTGTATTTACTGTTTTGTCTATGGCAATATTCAGTATGTTTTAGTAGATTTCTGTATTGTAATTTTCTTTTTTTAAGTTTTTTTTCAGTATATAGCAATATTTAAGATTTTGCTTAGTTATTTGACTTTTGACTGTCCTATTAATGATTTAAGCTTGTTGCTTGATTTGGTCATGCCATTATATATAGTCTGCGATAATTTACAGAATGTTAGGCACTTTTTATCAGAGTGCATTTATCTTTTGTTTATATTGTTAATCTGTTTAAATTCAAACTAGAAGCAAGTAAAACTTTCTCAAAAGTGACAATTAATGCAATTGAGTTAGGATTGGGGAACAAAAAAAATGGTTTGTAAAATTTTTGTCTTCTGTGTGGATTTATCTAATTATATGAATTATGAGCAGATAACATGTACATTTTATTGCTGACAAAATTTAGCATCTCTATCTGAAATTGAATTTTAAACACGTACATCTATCAGTGCTTTTTATATATAATTTTATAACAATAAGCAAGCTTATTTTCAACTAAAGCTAGCAGATGTAGAATCTTAGAAAATTATCTTCCACTTGTTCATACTATAGTTATTTGCATAAAGTGGTTAATTTTTTATGAAAGTTCTGAAAATAAATTTACATGGAATGATTGACTGTTACATTTGGACATTTTGTTTTCTACTTTTAAATATCATCAAAGTAGATATTATTTAGATTAGTATTAAAAAACAAAAGAAAACAGGTTCTCTATTTTTAAGAAAAATAGGCAAATGCCATTAGAATGTTTATTAGATCCCAAACAATTTCATATTCATTCATTTTCTTTTGGTTGTCTTTAATCACATTAGATGAATGGTAAACTTTGGTATAGAAACATATTTTAGTTCAGTCAATCACTAAATTTTAACATTAAATATTGGAAAACATTTTTCAGATTTACAAAAATAATATAGCATCTTTATATAAAAGTTAAGTGGAGGTACATTGGAGTAATGGCTAGCGGCTTGGACTGAGGAATTGGAAAGCTGTATTTGAATTCCAGTCGAGTTCATAACATCCACTTATGTGCTAGTACCCTTGAGAAAGCTATGAATCCATCTTTTCTCTCTCCAGCTATGAGTAACTAGCAAGACATACTGGGTTCTGCTGCCTTTGATGACAAGCAGTTTAAGAGGAGGACAACTCTGAATTCAAAACCTCCGATTAAATAGCTTCATCAGTCCTCACTTGGCCAAGTGTGGTGTGTATGACTTCACCTGTGAAAACATGGTTAATCAGGGAGTGGTTCCTTCAAGGAGTGAGAAGGCTCTGGATCTGATCTGATGTACTTCATCACTGGTGTTTGTTTTTTGTTTTTTTTTCTTCATTTTTTTTTTATGAATGTTAAATTATTACCTGCTTTGTGGGGAATATTGACAAGAATACATACTGTTTACTCATAAAAGAATAGTTAGTGCCAAGTGGCATGGATTGGCATGCAGGTAGTGTAATGAATGGCAACTCAGAATGAGAAATTGGAGAGCTGAGTTTGAATTCTGGTAGAGTTTGTTATATTCACTTATACATAAATACCTTTAGGAAGGTGTGAATCCATTTCTTCTCCTTACATCTATGGGTTAAATAGTAGGATTGTATCTGGAAAAATCATTTTCTCTCAAAAATTGTTAATGCAATATTCATTTGCAAAAAAAAAAAAATTCTTACATTCCAAAATATGTTTTGATTTTAAATAACCCATAAAGGATTGATAAGCCATAAAAAAAACAACAATCACTCAATCATTCCTACGTATAAATATCAGTGCCCCAATACAATCGTGCATATAATCTGCATGTACTAGAATAACATTGTCATTAAAGTTAGATAATTTAAATGAGAAATGGAGCATCTTTACTACTGACCACTTGCTATCTTAATATTATTTTTTAATCTATGAGGAAGTTGAATCTATTTTGGTCAACTTTTTATTTTTTTTAATTTCACCCCCCACCTAAAAAAAACCTCCATATAAAAAGAAAAGACCATTTCCTTTTTCTCATTTTATTCTTTCCACATGGTGAAAGTTATTAGAATCACTTGTTTTCTCTGCATCATGTTACTCTCATTAAAAAGAAAGAAAAAAATGAAGACTGTCTCCTTTTCTGTCACTGCTGACCCAATCAATTTCTTTTATGATAGCCAAATAACTTTTACAATCTTTGTAGCTCACCTGCTACAATTCTATTTGCTTTGTTCTAAGTGAATCAGTCTTTAAGAAAACAAAGGGCAGTAGTGTTTTTAGTCACACATAATGTGTTCTTAACCTCTCATTGTCGTACTTAGTCATTACAGACGAGAATCATGAGTTCTTGAATTTAAAGCAACACTGTCTGCTTTATATTTGAAGGGATAACACTTGAAAGATTGTGTAACCGCACAAAAAAATTCTAGTCAATTTTTGCTTCCCACATTTGACAGCATAATATTTTGTCATTACAAGTAAACTAATTGTACTTTTCAATTGATGAAATAGTTAACTGTTTTTAATGTGAAATGTTACAGTTTATGTGGCCATGTTTTATTGAGATATTTTTATCTGCTACTAATGGTTTAATAGTCTGTAGTGTTGTCTAATGGGATTATTTTATGTACTTTTTCTCCATCAGGAAAATCATAGGGTAATATTGCTTAGTTGGCTATTTGATCTGAATTCTTATGCAAATGAAATTCATTGTGTTTGTCAGGTGATTTCAAAGCCATAATGCTAAATATTTTTCTCCTTAAATTGTTGGCAATCTTAACTTTGAGTATTTTCCTACACTGTAACTTCCTCATTCAGTTAAAGATAATTTTGCTTATTGATAGGCTTTTTTATAAAGCTAAAAAGGATATAAAATACATTAATCTTATGCTGATAAAAGAAGAATGTCTTTTTAAAATAACTGTTGTAACTGATATGGTCTGTGATATTTTGTAGTTAAGGTAAGTGGTAGATTTTTATCAAAATAGAAACAATTTGAGTCTTAATTTCTTTTTAATATAACTGGGAAAGAAAAATTGTCAGCTTGTAATAATACTATAAAATTAAAATAATGGAAAATAATAATTCTCATTTGGTTACTGTTGTCTCTTAAGTGTATAATAAATAAGGAAAATATTGGCTAATTAAATATCTCTTATTTATATACAATGAGGAAATTTTGAAATAAAGTTATAATATAATTTATGAAAAGTTGTTACAAATGAATACCTTGAGTACACTTGTATATATTAAGCTGTACTTTATTCTTTCATGGTTACATGATGATGGATTCATTTTGTGTTGTTATCCTCTTTGACCTTTCATAGCTGTAACATTTTACAAGTTGACAAACACTGAAATACTCCATCTTTGCAGTTACTTATATTACTTCTTAGGTTTACAAATATGTGGTACCAGTTTGAACTTGTCACATGTTTGTTATACTCTTAATCTTCTCAGCATTGTTGATTATCTATTTCTGCATGATTGTTTTTATTTCTTTTTCATTTCTGGATATAATTATTGATTCTATTTGGCTTTTGGCCAAGTTTGTGTTTATACTAAAGCTTATCTTGTATGTATTGTATCTTTTTTCTAAACACCTTGCTCAATCTCTTCATGTAAGAATTCAGTCATTGAAAAATATCTCCTTATCTTTCAATTTATCTTATTTATATCACTGAATTTTTCTCCAGCTTATCTAGCATTAAATAGAGCAGGGCAAGTGTATATTCAAGCATTGATTTTATTAAGACATTGTACAGTGTTTTGATAATTTAAAAGGAAAATATATGAAGAAAATTGTAGAATAATATAAATTTCTCTATTTTTTTTTTTTTTTTTTTTTTTTTTTTTTTTTTTTTTTTTATTCAAGATGTTATAGATTGTATAATTTGGAAGTATTTTTATATCTTCAGCTTCTCTTGAATGGAGCCAGTAGGACTCTGTGAGAAAGACCAAAAATAAGCATCGTTATTTATATTTTAAGTGATTTATTTTATTTTTTTAATGATTTCACTCCAAGCCAAGCA